TCCAGACCATTCACAGCATCCACACCATTCACAGCATCCACAGCATTCACAGCATCCACACCATTCACAGCATTCACACCATTCACAGCATCCACACCATTCACAGCATCCACACCATTCACAGCATCCACAGCATCCACACCATTCACAGCATTCACAGCATCCACAGCATCTACAGCATTCACACCATCCACAGCATTCACACCATTCACAGCATCCACACCATTCACAGCATCCACAGCATCCACACCATTCACAGCATTCACACCATCCACAGCATTCACAGCATTCACAGCATCCACACCATTCACAGCATCCACACCATTCACAGCATCCACACCATTTACAGCATTCACAGCATCCACACCATTCACAGCATCCACAGCATCCACACCATTCACAGCATTCACAGCATGCATTGCCTTCCAAAGAAGAGTGACGATTTTAACCCTTTATTGGTCACTCAGTGAAATACTAAACTCAACATCTTAAGCCAAGGCTCTGATTGACGGACAGAAAAAGACCTTATTACCATTTCAACTGTATATGTTGAAGGAAACATTCAATGTCATAGCAGAAAAACGGCCACTTTCACTAATATATGAAGAAAATAACATTTCTTCTATAATAAATTCCCTAGAAAAAACAAATTTTTATTTTGTTTTAAAATAACCTGAGATCATTAATAGAGGGACTCTCTATGAGCATTCGGGTCAACATTCACCATTGATGTCAGCTCTCTCAAAGCGAACCCAGATGATCTTTTCCTTCTCATCCGTAGGCGGAGCCCCGGTATAGGCCTGTGGTTAAAGATCAGACAGACAGAAGGCAGAGATGATCCACACAGAATTCATCAAACTCAACAGCAACAGAAAGTCAGACAGAAAAGGTCTAAAGAGGAGCAGCTGGATCAGCAGGAAACCAACAGATCCCCTCATTTTGAGTCAGGAAGACCAAGTTAGACTCAGAGCCTAAAACTCGTGATTAAAGAAATGATTTTAATACCTTTCTACACTACAACCACAGCAGAAAAACTATTTTAGTTCACAAAGTGAACACCATCTTGTTTCCATCATTTCTGAGCTGAGGCTGGACCCTCTGAAGCTGGACGTAGAAATACTGATCTAGAGAGGACAATGCTGAACATAGATCTAAGAACAGATTAGAAACGTTTACCTGAGGGACCACATCCTGCAGGAAGGTCACCACGCTCTCCATGTATGACTGCTCCCTGCAGAGCACAGACAGAGCAGAAACCAGGACTTACTGCTGGGTCATCAGCAGTCAGCAAACCAGTCAGCAAAACACGCCTCTTTGGTTCTCAGCCTCTGCCAGTTTGAGTTAGTTTATCCCAACTAACAATCTAACCCTAAAACAAAGCCCAACTAACCCAACCTACTCTAACTCCTCTAGCCCCCACCCAGTGCCCACAGCTGCCCCCACCACTCCAGAAGATAACTCCAGACTAGGGCCGTGAAACAGGAAATATGGAGACATTTAACACGTGTAAAGGTCTGATGATGCGAGCTGAGAGTTCACCAGTGATCTGAATGACTTACGGTGGCGCGTCAGACCTGGACGATCAGACGAATGTCAGGACATCCCATAATAACAATTAGATCACAGTTAAACTGATTCAGATTGTATTTCTGTCAGGAGAAGGTTTACTGACAGCTCCTTTGCTGCAGAGGAAAAAACATCAAGATATGTTGGTGAAAGATTTTAAAAATCTGAAACAAAGATTTTTTTCATTTTGGATGAAACCATCTAGACCAGAAACAACCATTTATAACGTTTTCACAACTCGGATAACCTGACAAGGACTAGAACCCGTCCAGGACTGGATCCCGTCCAGGACTAGAACCCGTCCAGGACTGGAACCCGTCCAGGACTGGAACCCGTCCAGGACTAGAACCCGTCCAGGATTATAACCCGTCCAGGTCTGGAACCCGTCCAGGACTAGAACCCGTCCAGGACTAGAACCTATTAGTTATTCCAGGTCAGCTGAGAACGGTCTACTTTGCTTCTCATTCTTTACTGATCTCACTCATCAGCGTCTCACTCAAATAAACGATGAAACAACAGGAAGTAGTTCTCAGTTCTTACGTGGCGGCCTGCGCTCGCACCAAAACCCCTCCTGCACAGCGGCTGGGTCTGCGGGGCGAGTCGGACGCCATGCTTCTCCTGGTGATTCTGTTTACCTAAAGGGTGACATCACAGGACACACTGATCTGAACATCCGTTTCCAAAAAACAGAAATTAAACATCAGCTTTCAAACAGGAAGTCAGACATTTACACAGCATGACGGGGGTCTGGGTGACAGACAGGAGGACAGACAGGAGGAGAGACAGACAGGAGGACAGACAGACAGACAGACAGGAGGAGAGACAGACAGGAGGAGAGACAGACAGGAGCAGAGACAGACAGGAGGAGAGACAGACAGGAGGACAGACAGGAGGAGAGACAGACAGGAGGAGAGACAGACAGGAGGAGAGACAGACAGACAGGAGGACAAACAGACAGACAGGAGGACAAACAGACAGACAGGAGGACAGACAGACAGGAGGAGAGACAGGAGGACAGACAGACAGACAGACAGACAGGAGGACAAACAGACAGACAGGAGGATAGACAGACAGACAGGAGGACAAACAGACAGACAGGAGGAGAGACAGGAGGACAGACAGACAGACAGGAGGACAGACAGACAGACAGGAGGAGAGACAGACAGACAGGATTAGTAGAATAATGATCAACAAACATGAACTGATTTAGCTGCTGCTGGGATTAGAATGAGGAAAGTTTTCCATCAGACATTTAATCATTTCTTTAGATGTAAACAAATAAAGTCTGAATCTGTTTTCCTCACAGGAAGAAAATCATAGAGATTTCTGACAAAAGCTGGAGAACAGATGATCCAACCAGGAAGAGCAGAGAGGCCAGAGCATGAGTGGACCACCATCATCATCATCATCATCATCATCACCATCATCATCATCATCACCATCATCATCATCATCATCACCATCATCATCATCATCATCATCATCACCATCATCACCATCATCATCATCAGCGGTGATGAAGCCCAGACAGAGGACAGCCTACTCTGAACCCTGACCGACAAACACTGTGTTGTTTATCTAGTAACCCCCCCCCCCCCCCCCCCCCCTGTTAGCTAGCGCTGAACTCCTGCTAGCAGCAGCAGCTAGGACAGCTAGCCTGGCAGTTAGCTGTTGATTCTGCCCTCAGCACAGAAGGAACAGCCTCCGCCTGCCCTGCTCTCCACACTGAGGCCCTAACGGTCACTAACCGAAGCAGGAAAGCCGCCTGGAGGCTGGTTCAGCGGCAGGTCTTCTTCAGCAGGTCAGCAGAGGAGAACAGCTCCTCAGAAAACAGTCAAAACAAACCGACAGGAATAGCGGAACTATGGCTGGCGGCTGGCAGCCAATCAGAAGAAGGTTATGGTCCGGACGGTCCAATCAGGCTCCACCGAAGGCGGGACTTCTGACACGTCATCAAACAAAGTTCAAAAATACTATCTCAGGTAATTTTAAATAGAAGGAAACAGAAAATAGAGCAGAGCGCATAGATGCTGATGCTACAGCTCTCCTTTATTTGTTTTTCTCTCTTTTTTATCATTCATTTCATATCCTGCAATAATCTATATTATAAACCATTTCAATTTTTATTTTTTAATACTTTATTTGTGTTGCCTTTGTGTCACTGTAAGGAACTTCTTCTCATGTACAAGACTTTGAATTGTCTTGCTGATTAAATGTGCTATTATTTTAGAAATAAACTAGCAGAGAAGATAGCGCTTATATTTTATAAACAAAATGAAAATAAAGCAGTATGATGAATATAACAAGAAGCCAACAGATTGATCCTGCTGTGTGTGAAATGATGGAGAGGATATTTTATTTAGCATCGCTGGCTGATGGCATCAGATTTCAGTCCATTAAAGCACCTTTGAGAGATTAGCTGTCAGATGTGAAGCCAGGATGAACCAGAGGTGGAGCAAATAAAGTAGCTGCTGATCCAGTAAAAACACCGTTAGGAAGGGACTAGAACCGGGAGACATAACTAACCCTGACTAGATGATCTCAGTGCCGCATAAGGAGGGTATGACATGCATGAAGGTGTGTAACCAGAACCTTTAACTGTTATTTGGAAGCAGAGGCAATGGAGGGAATCCTTAAAGGAATTATCCTAAAGCTTAGCATTAAAAACCTTTTCACTTTTTACCCACCAAGCAAAAATTGGTTGAAAAGACGACATGATTTATGTCCAAACTCGCCTACATTTGGTTGAAAAGTGAAAAGCTATAATATTCAGTTCATTGAAAAGACGTTTAAAACTGGGTTTTCAGTGCTTTTTATTAAACTAAAGCGGGAAAAAGTCAGACTGACCAAACACCGCCCAATTTTCAAAAACTGTTTCTGGACTATGACAGACCGACCAGTTTTAGCCTAAAAACCAATGTCATTGTCCATCTGGAAGAACATCTGTACCTGAGCTTTAGCGGCCAGAGGTCGGCCACCCCTGATCCCATCCCTGCAGTGATCAGTTGTTTCTATGTGGACATAATTCACCCCCTCTGGAGCAAACACTGATAGACAGATATAACCTTAACCCTTTATGGGCACTCAGGGAAATACTTAGAAAATAAACATTTTAAGCCAAGAATGTTATTGGAGGACAGAACCTTATTACTTTGTAACATTTAATAAATAGGCATATTAAGATGGCAAAAATCAAGGTCAATTAATAACAAGAAACAGCCACTTTCCCTAATATAAAAAAAATAAAATTTCTTCTATAAGGAATTCTTAAACCTTAGATCATTAATAGAGGGACTTACAGTTTTCACTCTTTCAACTGAGCTGATTCACTTTTTAACAGAACTTTTTTACCTTTTTTACTGATTAACTTTTTTCATAACTTGTTGAACTTTTCAACTTAATTTACAGTAGTTTATATATCATTTAATTGGTCAATGCCAAATGAGTTGTACTGCCACGTTTTGGCTGAACAGATGAATATATAGATCTTTGCTTCTAGACCTCACAGACAGATGGGGGGGGGGGGTTACAAAAACAGTTACATGTAACAGTTTAATAAAAAAATAATAGAATCTCAGAATATCTATTGTGTGTCATGGTTTTGTTCAAGCTTCTGACTCACATGCAGGAAAACTATCAGGAGGAAGCAGAGTCAGATCAACTCTGTTTATTGAGAACAGTCAGTAGTCAACAGAGAATCTGGAAACAGCAAAAAGGAGGAGCCTCAAGCTCTGAAACAAAGACACTGGTTAGTTATTTGAAGTCCAGAGAATGGAGAAGGGAAAGGAAAAGGGGCTGAATGGTGAATGATGGTCATCCAGGGAGGAAGGTGAATGGAGTTATTACAAAAGAGTGAAAGCTTGATGGTAAAATCCAGAAGGTATATCTTTTCAATTTTCATCAGAACTCAGGCTGCAGCATTTTGGACTCCTGTTTGTGGACTTTCTGAGGGTACCAGTAGTGATTAACACTCAAGCGCTGAAGATCCGACCGACCACTCCTCTTATACTAGAGAAGATTAGGCTGATTACTCGCAGGTGTGAAGAAACTGCCCTCCAAGCCGACTGCAGCCTAATGGCTCCACCTAGAGGGAAAAGCAGACTCCAGCATCCAACAAATGACATAAAAGACAGGTCCTGATCAAAAAAAGATGTTTTACTTTATTATCTGAAATCAGTTTATTCCCATCCAAATGAAGTGACTGACTAATCAGCTTCTTTTTCAGAGACTCTGGTCCAAAGACTTTAACTTCAGTTTTGTCTGCATTCAGAAGCAGAAAGTTAAGAGTCATCCAGGTTTTTATGTCTTCAGACATGCCTGTAATCTATGTAATGGGTTAGCTTCATCTGGATTTATAGACAGATATAGCTGGGTATCATCAGCATAACAGTGGAAATTAATCCCATGCTGTCTAATAATTCTACCGATTGGGAGAACATATTGTCATGATCGGTTTAGAGATAAAACCCACATGCAGAACACCACTGGAGACTTGGTAAAAGATTTAACAGAGTTTAGTTAGGTTTCACACAAATGACAAGAACAAGATTCAGGTTCTGGTCCGGGCAGGATTCTCTGGCGTCTGCAGAGACAGATAGTTGGTTAGCTTGGTTTGCAGATGAGTTAAATGGGTAATCTGATATTTCAGTGGATACCTTGAAGAGTTCCAGGCTAGTTCTGAGAGAGGGGACCGGTTGGGTCCAGAGACTGTTGGTTCAGCAGAGTGCTTGAGCAGCAGCAGCGTCTAGCTTCTGACTTCCAGTGAAAAGACCTTGGTTGGAGTGATTAGCTCTTTCCTAAGAGCAGCTGGTGGATTCCAGAGTGAGGACTTCAGGTTTGGCTCTCTAGGGCAGGCAGGCAGGTTACAGGTTAAGCTCATCCAGAGCTTCTCTCGAGAGACTGGTTTCCTAGGAGCGAGAAGAAAGAGGCAATTAGAATTAGGTTTCTCTAAGAAGATAACGATTAGTAAATTCAGAGGCTCAGGTTCGCTAACCAAACTTGGCTAACACTGCGGCGTCGAAGGAAGGTCTGGCAGCTGCCTATAAAGGCAGGTCTCCTGATGAGCTGATGAGCGTCAGCTGAGCTGGAGGGCTCCAGCCCAGGAGGATCCACAGCGCACTCTGCTGGAGAAGGTGGAGAATCTCCAGATCCCAACACATATATAGTAAAGAGAATTGGTCCTAGCACTGATCCCGGTGGTACTGCACAGGTAACCTTTGAGCATGAGGAAGATCTATCATTAACATGAACAATCTGAATTCGATCAGATAGATCAGATTTAAACCAGTCTAGAGCTGTTGCTTTAATTCCAACAAAATATTCAAGTCTTTCTAAAAGAATATTCTGATCAACTGTATCAAATGCAGCACTGAGATCCAACAGGACGAGCACAGATACAAGTCCATTATCTGAGGCCATGAGAATATCATTAGTGACTTTCACCAGAGCTGTTTCAGTGCTATGATGAGCTCTAAAGCCAGACTGAAACTCTTCAAAAAGTTCATTGAGGTGTAAGTGATCGCAAACTTGTTTGGCAACTACTTTCTCAAGAATTTTAGATCAGAAAGGAAGATTGGATATAGGTCTATAATTGACCAAGTCATCTGGGTCAAGAGACAGTTTCTTAAGCAGAGGTTTAATTCCAGCAACCTTCAAAGCCTTTGGTACATATCCCTGTAACAGAGATAGATTAATCATATCTAAAATGGAGGAGGAGATCAAAGGGAATACCTCCTTAAATAACCTGGTTGGAACTGGATCTAACATCCAAGTTGAAGGCTTAGATGAAGACAATAGTTTTGCTAACTCTGAAAGTTCAACTGGATCAAAGTAGTCTAAACCCGGTTCAAATTTCCATGACTACCTCAGATGCTGCCCCACCCTCCAGAGATAAACCAATCGTAGATATAGGATCGCTAATAATCTTATTTTTAATAAGATCAATCTTTTCCCATCACAAAATCCCATAAAATCATTCCTGCTAAGAGCAGGTGGAATAGACGGTTCAACAGAGCTATGGCTCTGGGTGAGTTTGGCAACTGGATTAAAAAGAAATCTAGGATTATTCTTATTCTCCTCTATTAATGAGGAGAAATATGCTGCTCTTGCTTTACAAAGGGTCCTCTTATACAGCAGTAAACTATTTTTCCAGACTAGGTAGGATTCCTATAGGCCTGTGGAGTGCCATATTCTCTCCAGTTTCCTGGCATTTTGCTTCACAGTGCGCAGCTGACAGCTGTGACAGCTGTGTTATCCGGTCAACGGTTTTCTTCCACAGGCAAAGGTAAGTTCCTGAACACTGCCACAGTCAAAGCCAGCACTTGTCTTGTAAGGTTATGTTGTAGCTCTCATGCAACATTTCCACATCTCCTCCAAAGCCATCTGCTTCCGGGACTGAGGATGCATTAGCAGAGAGAGAGAAGGCAGAAGCAGATGCTTCACATGTGGGATCCACTGGGAGAAAACCAGCCAGCATCAGCATCTTCCTGTGAATCACCTTTTTCTGTCCAGTGTCACAGATCTTGAACGTATGTGTTGTCAGATTGATATCTGTCACAGTGAAGAGGGTCGATTCCACCAGTCAGCAAGCTTCCTCGTACCCCTCTCTTTTCTGTTGGCTAAGAGCACTCTGGCACGATAGCAATGTCAATGCCCTAAGCATGTTTTCTCTGTTCTTTTGAAGCATGGTCCTGAGATATCATCATTGCCTCCTTCAGGGTGTCAGTAAGAGACGGCACATACTTGTCTTAGTTCCCAAGAGCAGAGTCTTTAAGAACAGCATAAAAGAGCACATCAACAAGAAAGCCAGGGACCCGACCAAACATGAGGTAAAAGAGAAGACAACCCGTTGCCTCATTACACTGCTCAGTTATACAT